TAAGATTAAAGAATTCAGAAAAGTATAAATTGTAAAGAATGTTTAAATTAGAGCAAGGCTATTACTTCAAAGTCTACATAGAATTCTTATCAATTCTATTTATTCCCATTTATTTTGTATTGCTCAAATGAGAATGATAGAGAATAAAAGATTTGTACTGTATGGTGCAGTAATTAGGAAAATATTTGACTGATTTAGGAATCATCTGTTTCAACAATGGTTCAAATTCTGTTTAAAAAGCTCCATTATTTCCCCCTGATTAATTCATACCAGGAAAAAAATATACTTTTGTGTTAAAACTGGATGGCTTTTTCATCAATAATAGAATACAGAAGAATGACAAATTTCAAAGAATATCAGAAGAATATTTGAATATTTCAAAAAATACAGAAGAATATCAAATTTCAGATATTAAAAAACATAAAATTTTGTATAAAGGTACTTTATAATTACATTTGTTTTCTCAATAATTAAGCTTTCATGACATTTTCAAAATTTTGAGCAAATCAAGCACTAAAATTTCATAGTAATAGAATCAAGGTTTTATACAACCATTCCAATGTTGAGGTTTTGCTCTGATTGATTGTGAGAATTAATATGATGCATTTCCAAAAAGAAATTTTCTACATCTTCCTAAATATAAAAGATCACAAAATTTCTCTAATATTTTGCTCATGTGTGAATGGACTTGCAAAGAGTATTACTGTAAATACTGGAATGATCCTTCAATATAACAGTCCTCCAATGTAACAAATACAGACCACAAATGAGCCCAAAATTTCTGTTGGTAAGTGAGACATTTGTTAAGTGAGATTTGCCCCATTTTACTACCTTTTTTGCCACAGTTGTTAAGTAAATCTGGCTTCCCCATTGACTTTGCTTGTCAGAAGGTTGCAAAAGGTGATCATGTGATCCTGGGACACTACAACTGTCATAAATATGAGCAATAGCCAAGCATCTGAATTTTGATCATGTGACCATGGGAATGCTGCAACAGCCACAAGTATGAAAAATAGTGCCATTTTAATTTTAAATGGTCACTAAATGACCTGTTGTAAATTGAGGACTGTCTGTAGAGAGTTTTGGTTAACCATTCACTGTGATTGTCAGTGAATGCTGGTGATAGAGTGGAGCTGAAGAAAGTCACGGTGGTGGGCACAATCACACGATTTGACCTCATCCCTTTTTAAGTGTATTGCATTGCTTGGAGATACATCCAGGGGTGAAATCCAGCAGGTTCTAACAAGTTCTGGAGAACTGGTAGCGGAAATTTGGAGTAGTTCAGATACTGGCAAATACCATCTCTGGCTGGCCCCAGAGTGGGGTGGGAATGGGAATTTTGCATTATCCTTCCCCCAGGAGGGGAGGGAACGGAGATTTTGCAGTATCCTTCCCCTGGAGTGGGGCGTGAATGGAGATATTGCAATATCCTTCCCCTGCCATGCCCACCAAGCCACACCCACAGAACTGGTAGGGAAAAAATTTGGATTTCACCCCTGGATACATCTATCAATATTTTTGGACACTCCTAAATTGCAATTCACTAAATTCCCTTGGGAGACTTCATCAGGCTGTTGGTCCCATTTTACGACTTTTCTTGCCACATTTGTTAAGTGAATTACTGCAGTTGTTAAATTAGTAACACTGTTGTTAAGTAACTTTGCATGTCAGAAGGTCACAAAAGGTGATCACATGACCCCAGGACACTGCAACCGTCATAAATATGACTCAGTTGTCAAGCATCCAAATGTAAATCACATGACCATGGTGCAATGGTCATAAGTGTGAAAAATGTTCATAAGTCACTTTTTTCAGTGCCGTGGTAACTTTAAATGATCACTAAGTGAACTGTTGTAAGTCAAGGACTACCTGTACTATACTATACAGTACTATATTATTACTGGTATATTATTATTTTCAACAGTAGTTCATGATGTCATTTGGGGAATTACCTGCACTTGGATGTTCCCTAACATGTCTAAAGAAATTTCCCTATATGTCTAGAAGATAGGAATAGTGATGTCAGTGCCAATTAAAATAACATGACTCAGCACTACAAATACAGAAGACCAATTTTTATTATTTTTATTTATTTATTTTTTAAATTAATATTATTTACCACATGTTTATTTATCCTTTTCGTTATGTCATTCTGAAGCATTTTGGGATCGGAAATTTACTGAATCTGAAATTATAGCTATTCCGAAGGCAGAAATTTTAACAAAATGGTGTGTGATTTCAGCAAGATAATAATAGAAGAAAGAGTAACCTCATGACTTTTAACACTGTGTTCCATAGCACAACAAATAGTCTACATACAATCTAGATGAGGAAAGTTTTTATTATTGATTCAGTTTACAGTGCGTGGCAAAAGTATATAGTTTCACCTAATGTAGGCATAAAAAAATACATAGAAACCTAGTTATGTATACGCTGTAACTAAAAATTCTATTTTTGTTTTTAATTCTGATTTTAAGATGCATAGGATCTTTAAAATGTTATGCATTTCACAGATGAGTTTTTTTAATGCCTAGCTGCTTTCTGGCAATAGCTTTCTGGCTGTCCTAGAGTTAATTTTAATTTATGTGACAACTTTCCATATGTATATGTATACACAAACATACATACATAGATTTCTGATATACAAGTTCTGGCACTTTTCTTAGCAAAATTTTTGGACATGGTTTCTTATTTCCTTATTCCTATGGCTGAGAGAGAGTGACTTGCCCAAAGTTATCCAACTGCCTTCATGCTTCTGGTGGACTACAATTCATGAACCCAGTTTCTAGTCTGGTGCTTAAACCTCTGTACAGGTAGTCCTCAACTTATGACTACAATTGAGCCCAAAATCTCTGTTGCTAAGTGAGACAGTTGTTAAGTGATTTTTGTCCCAGTTTACGATCTTTCGTGCCACAGTTGTTAAGTGAATCATTGCAGTTGTTAAATTAGTAACATGATTGTTATGTTGATCTGATTTCCCCATTGACTTTGCTTGTCAGAAGGTCACAAAAGGTGATCTTATGATCCTGGGACACTGCAAGTATGAATCCATCACCAAGCATCTGAATTTGAATCATGTGACCATGGGGATGCTACAACAGTCGTAAGTGTGAAAAATGGTTGTAAGTCACTTTTTTCAGTGCTATTGTAACTTCGAATAATGAACTGTTTACTAGATGAACTGTTGTAAGTCAAGGACTACCTGTGCCAAACTGGCTCTCTGTTAATATTAATTGGGCCATTAAGTATTCTTTAGTCTGAGTATTGCATTTGACATATGCTTAGAAACTGATATTTTATTCTTTTTCTCTAGGAAATGGTAATTATCTATTGACTTTAAAATAGCTCTAACAATAACCGAATCAGGATTTTCCAAACTCAAAAATTTTCAATATACCCCAAAGCCAGGCAAAGTGTAACTATAGTATTTGGATAATTAACAAGTCTCTGATTTGGTTACCGATTTTAAATAATGAAACAATTGTGGCTTTTCCTTCAAGAGTTTAAAATTGCTGTATGCGAGCTTGCATGTATCACAAAAAGGAAGTGTTGTGTAAAGACTCACAAGCAATGAATATTCAGCATTTTTAAAGCATAATTTAATAATGCTTGTCCTTGTTGACCTGCTTTTTGAATCATGCTTGGTAATGGACTAACGCATACAGGTCAATTTAAATGAAAGAAATATGAAATAAAGTCTGTTAGGTTTTTTTTTTTAAATCAACACCATTATTTTTTTTCTCATACAAAGGGCATTATTGTGTAAACTCTTGATCACAGACTATTTTACACATTCCCCTATCTTGGTTAAAATTCTGCTTCTTTATTTTGGAAATCAAAAATAAAATAAAGCTCCCAATCTTTTGCTTTGCCTTGACAAAGAGCAAAATTTAGTTTTCCCCTGAGGTGTTTATTTTAATACGTCAGACATGGATTTCCCTTTTCTGTACATGCCTGTGGGTTTCCTCAGGTTCCTCTGGGGAAGGAGGGGGGAAGATATATATACAGTCCGCCTCCTCCCGCAGAAGAGGTGTGCAAATTGCACATATTCCAAAAATGGGCGCAGATACTATTCAAACGCCTGGAAGGAAACGTCACAATTCCCATCATCCCCCTATTTCCAAGGGCTATTCCTGGGGCGTCAATCTGAAACCCCAGCCGGAGAGCTCAGCAATCAAAGCCCAGTCTTTTTCCACTCTGTATGAAACCTCTATACCTGGAACACCCCTCGCTGTCCTAAGCCTGCGCTAATTAACAGCTCCACCCGAAAACAAAACAGTCTTTCTTTCTGTCATGGCAACCGAGCCCTACCTTCTTCGCTGCTTTGGCAACCGAACCCTACTTCCCGGCGCTGCTATGACAACCGGAGCCTCCTCCTTTCCCTTCCCTCCGCGATTGACGCCGCAGTCTGCGTTGACAGTGATAGCTGAAGGGGAAGGGCGAAAGAATGGTGACGTTGCGAGATTCACTCCCGTGGATGCTACACGTTGACGTCAGTCTGTTTTTTTGAATGCTCGTCTCCAGAGCAACGGCCTGTTAAACAGCCAAGCCTCAGCAACAGAAACGGGATTGGCCGATCCAGGTTAGAGGGAAGGGGAGCATTTCGCTCAAGTCTGAACAGGTGGAGCAACCTAGCCTTGAACCTGGATCAGTGATTCAGGCAGAAAAAGACAGAAATAGATGATGTTCAGATGGAATGTCCTTTAAAGAGAATACCTATGGAGGAAGCCTCAAATAAGGTGGCTGTACATGTAGCGGTCTCTCTCTCTCTCTCTCTCTCTCTCTCTCTCTCTCTCTCTCTCTCTCTCTTTCTCTCTCTCTCTCTCTCTCTCTCTCTATATATATATATACATATATACATATATACACATATACACATATACACATATATACATACACACACACACACACACATATTAATGTGTGTTCCTCTGGAAGCATTTTGAATAGCCACTGATAATTCAGTTCTCCATTAATGTGTCCAGTTCTCTCTTTAAAATCGTATAAACTTGGTAGAATTAAGAAGAGAAAATTGTTCAACTGGGGACTTACAGTTATTGGCAAGGGAATTCAAAATCAGTAAGTCAGATTGTCAACAGACATGGGCCAGTATTAGCAAGTGCAAATGCCAAATAATATCAGCATTTACATATTTTTTCTGGTTTTGTTGTTTTTTAAAACAGCCACTGGAGAGATTAAAATCAGAAGGAAATAAATATAGAGGACAACTGCTACATTTCTCTATCATTGCTACTTGATCAGGGAAAATCCTTTCTCAATCTTATCTCCATATTGCTTTCTTTTTCTTGTGGAGTAAAGGTAGAGTTTAGTTCCATGTAAGCACTCTGGAAAGGTGGAGCCTTGGGCTGCTTTCCCAGGATTAGATGCCAGTTAGGGAGGTGAACTTGCACAGCAAGTTTGTCTTCTTTCCTTGCGTGCAAGACTTGAACTATTGGAACATATAATTGAACTTATCTTTTAAATGTAATTGTGAGAACAACCAATAAACAGGAAATAAACACTATAAGCATACAATTGGTGATTGGCAGGATATGTAATTCTATATTAGGAATAATCAAAGTAAACGTTGAGGTTTAAACAACAAAAATAATCAAGTCTGAATTGACCAAATTCTTCTCATCTTGCTCACTTCTATTATACCATATTCTATAAGTAAAATTTACTCAATCCAAATGAAAAAAGCTTATATTCTACATTTTTAGCATTTCATAGCTTGCTCACTTTTCTAATCAAAGCAATTACAGAATATTCTCATGCTGTAATTTCTGTTATCTACAAAGTAGGCTGAGTTAGTTAAATAGAAAGTTTGGACGTACTAATATTAAATATAAATCCAGCATAGGTTCTTGCAGTACTGTATAAACTATAAATCATGTGATTGCAGAAAGTAGATCGGAATATAGAATACAGCTGACATTCATGTGACAGATAATAGTGTACAGGCTTGAAAAAAGTCTCCAGAATTCAAACAGTACAGTATTAATATTACAGGGAATAATTCAAACTGACAAATGATATTTCTTTTATTGCAGATATAACACTTATCCTTATAAATAATATTTTAAGATGCCCAAAGTCTTCTAGAGTGGGTGGCCATTCTAAATGTAATAAAATAAATACCTACATACCTATCTTATCTACATAGCTATAGTACTTAGAATCTAATATACCGCTCCATAGTGCTCTACAGCCCTCTCTAAGCAGTTTACAGAGTCTGCCAACTGGATGCTCAGCAACATGCAATGGAGGTAAGATACTTTATCCATAATACTATCACAAAATGGTCACAACATGCATTTGTTTGGGACTGATCATGCTAACTAGGAGAATACTCCTTTTCATTGCTTTCTTGTGTGTTTCATAGTCCTGAGTTTTCCAATAAATTGGACTTGACACTGAGGAAAAATTATTATTCCATTTCTGCATGCCATAACAAGACCAGGTCTTTGACAGGAGTATACATTTTATAATAATTATGGTTGATAGATATCCTGAATGAATTAATTCAGGAATCTACTGCATTCCATTAATCAAACAAACAGTATCTATGTGATCCATAAGGGATCTCCCAGAGCAAAATAGTCATTGCTAATCTAAGCTTTTAGCATCTTTCTTTTTGAAGCAGCAGATCTCCAAAGACAGACTGCTTCTGGTTTATTAAGTTTAAGTATTTTGTAGTCCATTATTGTCTGTAAGCTTATCTTGAATAAGAGCCAGCATCTTGTGTTCCAATCTGTTTCTTTTTATGGTACTTTGAACAGAAGTTGTTTTTCTCTCTATGTCTTTATATTCATTCTTAAAATATTCTTATGTCCTATCTTTGGACATAGCTATTGTGTTGTATTGGGCTAATAGTATATCAGATTTATGCTTTCCCAAAATTTACTATGTACTTGATCAAAACCTACCTAGGACCTAGATTATGTATAAACAATATCCAAGTACAAGTGTACAAGCTATGTATTTTAATAATGGAAGGTAAAGACCTTGCTGCTTTATTGGTATTTCAAAAATGTTTACAAGGGATGGAGAATAAAGCAGAATTATCACAATTTCTGCAGGTCACTCAACTGGCTTTCTACTGAGATTTCAGCAATACCATGAGACGTGAAACTGTATCTGGGAATGAAAGGTTCAGACACTGAGCCAAGAAGAGTGTGAAAAGTTTCAACAAAAGAAATCTAATATCACTCTTTAAAAAAGGAGATTAGGATGTTAAAAGAACATAAAAATTTAAAGTTTGAACTTGTCCAACTTCTTACGCACATTATGTTCATAGTTTTACTGTTCCTATCAGTGACACATACTTAAAAATTGATTTGTTGTTTCAGAAAGGTCTATGCTTTTATAAACCAAATGAAGTATCTAGAAAGTATGTTAGTAAATAACACAGATTCCATACTTAGTGTTGCAGTTATATCAAGCGGAGTTGGATAGATTTTTCACAGTTATAAGACAAGGATTACCAAATAGTGGAACATGTGAGCTCATAATGAACAATGCTGATGCTATAAAGTATATTGAATGCCTTTGAGATAATAGTGGTTTGAGAGTATTATTGAACTCTCTCTGTTTCACCTTCAATCTTTTCATAATTCTCAGAAATTCAATACTTACCTGCACTGAATGAAAAACTGCTTTTTTCGCTAAAGTGAGTTTTTCATACAAGTCCTGATTAGTGATGTAATGTGATTAACAGTATAAGTATAGCATGAATCCATTTCAACTTTTTCTGTTTAAGTTCTGTGAGGATTACATTTGCAGCTTTAATTTATTTGAGTAACCTAATTTCACTGCTTCTTCATTTTACACTTTACTACTAGTGATGCATATAGTCTATGAAAAGATAATGGAAATGGTAAAAATACATTTAGGGTCCAGAAATGAAAAACATGTTCATAAATCAAGGATTATCTGTACTACAATATGTAAGCAGCTCATAAAGTAAAGCAATGCACAAAGCAGTGAAAGTCATTCTGTCATAATTGGACTAGTATAGTGTGTATACTTTTTGTGATGATCGTAACTTTGAGATAACTTTTCCCAATGTTGTTGTAACTTTGAACTGCCATTAAACAAATATTCATAAATCAAGGATTACCTATATATAATATGTAAGCAGCTCCTAATGTAAAGCAATGCACAAATTAGTATAAGTCATTCTCTCATAGTATTTTATATTAAATGTCCTGATCAATTTTAGAAGTATCTGTTGGAATCTACTTACTATAACAGTGATAGATATGCATCTTTACATAGAGCTTGTTTCAACAGAACTTTATGTGATAATTCTAGACTTTGCCAGCCACAGCTACAGGTTTGGCATAGAACAGCTGTCACCTGTAAACACACACTTCAGTTTTCCTTGCCTATTGTAATAAGGAAGTGTATTAACTGTAATTTGACTGCCCACATCCTGCTTTTCTACTGTGGATGAGTGACATATGACTGACAATGCAATTATGGATATAGGAGAGCCATATATTCCCAATCTTTGCTAGTAAATATTTAGGCAAAGTTTAGTCTTTATTAATTTCCCACTTGGTGGGAAGACATGCCAAATTAATCTGATGAATCAAGAAAAAGTCTTGGAAATTTCTTCATGTATTATTTCCTAGATTAGGAACATACTGAAAAAGCAAAATGGTAGTGTAGGAACATGATAAAACTGAATTGTTCTAAAGGTTTCAACTCAGTTTTGAAATGTTTTTGTAGAGCTTGAAAACTGTTCAGATTTATACTACAGACGGAAAAAGGTTTACCGAAGGCAAAATAAATTAGTAACTAATTTTAAATTGTTAAATTAATCCTATGACAACTGTTACAGTAATGATTAGGATTTGTGGGATTCTCAGGCAATTATCTTCATTGGATTCTCTTCTTCATGAAGGATAAGTAAAAATCTCTCATTTTCTAGACATATGACAGGCCTGCTGAGACTTGTACTTGTCTCCAGGTCTAGAAATTGCCCAATCCAGCTTTCCAAATCTGGCTTTACCAAACATGGTTTTGCTTTATTTCCCAGCTGTGATGATAATGGACTCCTCTGATTGTGAACAGTGAGTTAATACTTCAGAGGTATGCTAGATGCACTTTAAAATGACAAAACCAGTAAGTAATGACTAGCATCACACTTGTGTCAGAAGCACCGAAGGTGTTATTGATAATGAGGTGCTTCTGGGTTGAAAGGATTAGCCAGTGTTACTTGGAGGACACCCAGTTGAGAGATCCTTTCTTGTCCCAGCAGGAGCTGGAGCGAAGAACAAGAACTCACCCAGCCCCACAGCAGCACTCAGGTCTCGGATGTGGGCTTGCTAACCTCCAACCCAGCATCCTAACCACCGAGGCTACCATACTCCTAAGTAATGACTAAGAATTGGCGAACAACTGAAATATTTGTACTACTAATGAGTGACATTTGTACATGGAAACCGATTTTCTTAAAGCCTTTACTCATCATCTCTACATTCATTATCAATCTTAATTTTGTACTATGTCATACATCTAGCTCAGGGGTCACCAACCTTTCGGATCTCAGGGATCACTAAATTCATAATTTTAAATCCTGTGGACCACTAATATGATCTGATTAATGACCGGCTGGGTGGGCGTGACTGGGTGGGCATGGCCAACTTGATGTCACTCACGTCGAGGGGCACCTTGCCGGCCTCTACTCGCCTCCCCTCCCAGCCACTCCTTGCCTGCCTGCCCGGGCTCCGCCGAGCCCTCAAGACCATTTTTATTTCAGCAGGCTGGCCTGGCCTAACCTCCTTTTAATTGTTAATTTTAAATTTGTTTTAAAACAATAGGGGTGTTTTAAATTGTTTGGGCCAAATTATTTAATGTGCTTTTACATTGTTTTTAAATTTTGTATTATGTGTGTTTTATCTTTTGGCTGTTCACCGCCCTGAGTCCTTCGGGAGTAGGGCGGTATATAAATTCAAAATAAAGTAAAGTAACGTAAAGGGCCCCAACAGGAAGCAGTTGTTGGAGCTAACCAGCCACCATGAGAAAGAGTTGGCAAACAGCTGGCTCAGTTCAAATTGGATCTGACCGAGAAGAGGCTCAGGAGAAGCACCTCACTGAGGACTACAAGCATAGGCTTTCCAAGCAGAGGGAAGACCTGTGGGAGTGCAAGGCCAGATACCAGCACCTGGTGGCTCAGCAGGCTGAGATGGTCAGCTGGCTCCAGGCCACGATGCTGTCCCATTGGCCGTCCGGCTCATTGCCACCAGCGGCGCTTCCCTCCAGCCTTTGCCCAAAGCCCCATACCAGGAGGCTGAAGCAGACCCCTAGTCAGAATTTCTGCCCCACTCCAACCTGCACAAAAAGACCCGAATGGGGACACTTTGCAGTAACACAAGCATTCATTGCACTTATCTGGCCCAGGGGCCAGGGTTTGAGGACCCCTAATTTAGTGCAATATAAAAAATGCAAATAATTTTTCTGCGGACCACCAAACTTTTCTCACGGACCACCAGTTGGTGACTACTGATCTAGATTGTTCTGTAAAGACAATCTGATTCTGGAGAGCTTCCAGGCCAAGCCACAGATTAATGTAGGCATAATTTTGACAACTTTGTGACATTTGGTGTCTTTATATCTTCTGCAATTGCTTTGAAACAAGTTTTATCATATTAATCTATCCATTGCATCATCTAAATGACTAGAGATCATAGTTTGAGATTAATGCAGGAGGTAAAATTTCTCAACAACCAGTTTATAAATCATGTCCAAGTGGCAGTAAAAGAAGAATCATAGACCTATGTATGCTCCTGCCTAATTTTTCCTGGAGTAGAATTCAGCTAGAGATTTGGGAAGCATGAAAGTTGCATATCTTATATGTCCACTCTCCAATATTGAAAACAAAAAGCAATGTGCATCTTACAGCCATCAGAGCATAGTTACCTTCATTCTGGGCCAAGAAATACCATTAATTATGTCCAATGCCTGCATGTTACTCCAGCTCCACGACTTATATCTTGCAGGGAAAGCGCCTCAGAGGGAGACCACAGCTGCGATATAAGGATATCTGCAAGAGGGACCTAAAGGCCCTGGGAATGGACATTAACAACTGGGAAACCTTGACCTCTGATCGTTCAGCTTGAAGGCTAAAGACGCAGCATGGCCTTCTCCAATTTGAAGAAACACTTGTTCGGCAGGCTGAGGCAAAGAGGCAATCCCGGAATCAGCAAAATCTGGGGGCTGGGCAGAGGGCAGAATGCATCTGCCCTCAGTGTGGAAGGGATTACCATTCTCGAATTGGCCTTTTTAGTCACACTAGATACTGTTTTAGGACCTCTTTCCAGAGCACGATACCATAGTCTTTTGAGACTGAAGGATGCCAATGGAATTCCAACTCCACGACTTATATCTTCTTTGTCACATTTATTATCTAGCATCTTTATTTGGTCTGTGTACCAAGGCAAGTCTTCTATTGTATTCAGCAAACACAGTATACTAAAGTTTGTAATATTTCCTACTAGGAAACACTTCCAAATCTATATTACAAGACCATAGTGTTTTGAGTGTTTGCAATGCTTCAAGAGGCAAATATGGGTGCAGCTCTCAGTTGCAGTACTGTTTTTCATTTGATAATATAATACTTCTTTTTTTGCTTGTTGTACACAGATGTAATATAAATGTGTGCAGCAGTGTTATGAGGAAAATACAACTCCACAATATATCATCTAGAATAAAGTGGTCATGTATCTAGAAAGCTTCTAGCTAGGAATATATTTCAAAAAGGCCTGAAAATGTAATTCATCCATGAGATATAAATTTGGAAATATCATTGTGAATTGAAATATTTTCTTTCTTAGTCCAACTAGGAAAGCAACTTCTTAAATACCGAAAATGCTTGTTGCTGCTCTATCTGTATTCATTGCTTTAAAGCGGGTATCAAGGCAGAATAATATTTGAGTGTATTGTTTCAAATCACCAGCCAACTTTTACTTTAATAGGCATCTTAATTTTAAATAAATTGTTATCTGTAATAAAAGCTTTCATATGGACTATTGTGTACATTTCCAATTCTTTGCACACTGGAGTATGAGATTACAATATTTTAATCAAATACTGATTTTACTGACCAAAGCAAAACAATTCCATTGTATCCAAGCATCAGCTCTGAGTTTTGAGATCAAATAATTCAATCAGGTCTATTATTGAATAGGATAAGCCTGCTTTCAGCATAAGTATTTAGTCTTAAAATGCATAGTATTCTGTTGAATATTGATCACTTCTTAATGTGGGATATTTTTTAAAAAAAATGCATAGCAGAGGATTCTAAATATTAATTTCCAGTAAGTCGTGCTTCTCTACAATGTATCCCTATCAATTATTATAAAGACAGGTCTCTCAAGGGAAATACAATTTAATGGGAGTTTATAGACTATAAACGATGGAGAAAAGATATGCCAGGTCACTGCAATAATCAAAGACAGCCAAGGGGGAGAACATCCACAAGTATTATTTTTCCTTAACAATAACGTGTTAAATTATACGTTGCTGTCCTTTTATGACACTTGAAATTTGCTGCCTGAAGCTGGTAGCCAGTGTGTTATCTAAGAGGTATTTGTAAAACTAAACGGTTTATTAGCCGCCTGGAGCTCTCGGAGAAATTTGAAGAATCTAATAAGCGCGTTTCGACTCTTAAGACAGTACCAGACTTCCTTTTTCTCCGGGTGGAAAGAAGGCTCGGGTGCTCCAGCTGATAATGTGTGCCTGCGAATAAGCAAAATAACTAACTGCACAAAGCAGGAGTCATTCCATTTCTTTCGGTCAGAGTTTGAAGTTAACCGCAGCCGCCTCAGGGTCTGATCTGATTTAAGTCATCTGGGAAGCGAGAAACTGGATCGCGGGCCCAGGACTTCCAAGCCCCGCCCAAGAGGAGAATCGCTCCACTCCAAGGCTTCTGTCACAGGCTGTGACGAGGAAACCTGGAAATAGCAGCTGGCCCAATTCCCTTCGCTTCCATAGCCCAAATGCTTCGTTCGGCGGCGGCCACATGGTAACATCAGCTTCTGCATTTGGCCTATGAGCTCAGGCAGCAGGAATCGCAGCCGGCTGCGGCGGCGCGAAGCTCCTCCTCTGCCTAGAAACTGCTCGGGAGAGGGGCTCTTTCTGTTGCTGTAAACACGCGACAGCGCCAGCCTCATCCCGCCGCTTTCCCTGCCGCGGCCCCGAGGTCTCCTCCTTATTGGCTCCCACGGCGAGCGAGAGCGAGCTGGCTCCAGTCCCGGCCTGTCTGTCAACTCTGCACGACGGTGGGTGGTTCTGGGATTCCCTTGCAACAAACAGTAGGATCACAACAAACTGCAGCTCCGGGAAAGGAGAAATCTCTGCGGCTTGTTACCGCACCTCCATGGCTACTTCCCAAATATCCTCGCGCCCGCTGGGGGCAGAATTGAACACCTCTCAGCCTGGGTTGTCTTCCCCGACGACGCATAATTTCTGGGATCTTCTGTTAACAATAAATCGCCAAAGTTGGCTGGCCGTTTTGAAGAATTGAAGGAAGTTGATCAAGTCAGCTCTTCTAGAAAGCGCCTTTGTATGATTTAATGTCTCGTGATTATACTGATCTTAAACGTGCAGGATGGCTGTCCATCCCCCGCCCCTCCGCCCTTTCCCGTCAACGTTAAGGAACATTAGGCGGTCTTTTCCATACATACCATCCGTGTTTGCTATTGCTTCTAATCCAGAACTTCATCCAGAAACAATTCGGTTGAGAAACGGAAATTATCCGTAATCACAATAAAAAAGGTTCCCATGGTAATAACCTGAATTATCAATATTATACAAATGTTTAAAACCCTAACCAGGAATGTGTAGCAGCACAATAAAGTGATAAAAATTAGCTCAAGTTATAGAAACAGATCATATAGCAGAATTACTAACCCTATGTGAGAAAGTGTGATGTATAACTTGAAACCTGAGTACCCCAATAGAAACACAACTTCTAAATCATTTGCTGATTAATCTGTTGACATTTTCAAATCTGCTTCCTAGTGAGTGAATTCCACTACCTTCAAAGTAAAATAGACAATATTATCTTAACTCTTCTTTTTTGTGTGTGTGTGGCTAATTGAGGAAACAGGCAGAGAGTTGGAGCTCACCCATTCAAGTATTTTGGTCTTGATCTTGTCTTATGTTTACTCTACAGTAAAATGAAACATGAAGATGAAACAATCTATAAGTGAGGAACTCTGGCCATAAAAAAAGTGCTATACTTTGAGCTCTGAAATGGAGCAGCAAGTCAGTTATTTCTGAAAGACTCATTTCCTCAGCTGAAACCCTCTGTATGTTGGGGCTTACAGAAGGCAACACATTGGCTAGACATTGTCTCCATAAGTGAATAACTCTAAAGAACTACCTCAGGTGAACTGTATTTTATTTGCAGAGTGTAAAGGTAAACTCACAGACAATTTTGAAACAGTTTCAAAATCAGTGAGTTATACATTTCTTCACTACTTTTCTGAATAAACTATTCACATGCTAACAGTTTCTTTTCCTGCATTTTAGTGCATTATTATTACTACACAGTAAAATGCTGACACTGCTGAAGCGAATGAAGTTTTGTAACTGCATAGAGTTGAGCCAATGATGTTCCTTTGCACGAACCCAAACAACCTCTGTAATATGAAAACTAATCTTTCATGAGAACTAATCCTCTTATTATGAAAGAGATGAACTTGACATGACTGTTGACATAAATCTACAATTGGCTGTAAAGACTGTGTATCTTCTCTTTGATAACCTTTCGCCCACTAGATAGAAAGACATCTTACATTGATCTCATCACTGAGCTACATGCTGCTCTTCTATTATACTTTCTATATAGCATGTGGGTGAAAACATGTTTTTAAAAAACAATGCAAAAGAGTGATTTAAAAAACCTATTGGCTAATACATAGGTAAATTATTTTAAATACTAAGTGAAACTTTATCCTTAAGAATATTTCATATACAAAATAGTTTCAAATTATGTTCCTTATTAGGAAGTAAGTAGGTAAGAATTATTCAACTTTAAGTATATGTAGGATTGTAATTTTTTATAAAAAGTTACTATAATATTGATGTTAAAAATAAATAAAATAGCTGTAATCAATTTACCAATAACTTAATCCCTGTAACAAATGAACTAATGTAAGTTGTCTGAGGTACATATTCTTACTGAATTTTGGTTTAGCAGTATAATGATTATTAGTTGTTGATCCTAGAAAGTATTGATTGTAAACATGTTTTTAAATTTACTTAATATTTGTATTTGTATGTGTTCAGCACAATACAAGATTCTCCACGACAATAATATGTGAGTTAAGTTGGACTGAGAGTGTGTGACCAGCCCAAGATTGCTCAGTTATATATTTTTATTGAACCCTTGCAAGTTTAGCCCCAGACTAGAAATAATTTGGAATATGTAGGATAGAGCAAAAGGTTTGTGTGAATGACTATCTGTTGATGTCTGAAGTTATAAATGGAGAATGATGAAAACTGCTATAAATCCAGAACATAAATGACTGTTCATAAGAGCAAACATTTTCCAGTATAGCTATTTTTCAGTATTGACTGAATATGGAATTCCAAAACTTGTATGATTTTTAAAAAAAAAATCGAGTGAAAAATTATCCAACATTTTTACTTAATTCTTACCCTAATCTTAACCTTAGCCGTATACTACATTCCTATCCTCCAGCAGGGAAAGGGAGAATCTTGTAGACAGGTATGTATGTATTATGTAAAAACTATGCAAATTTTGAGAAAACAAATACTGTACATAAAGTTCAGCGATTTAGAAATCTTTCGAGAGGAATAATTCGGTCTCAGCTCAATCTTAGCAAAGGCTTCAGTGTTTCTTCTCGTGGAGGTCATGAGCTAAATAGACAATTAAAGTTCTGTCTCTTTAAAGCGTCATGTCATGTCAGTGTCTGGTCAGCACTAAATGGACACAATTCTGCATGCATAATCCGTTTGCTGCGGCTATTACTTTTACTCCCCCTGCCGTTACCACAAACACGCACCATCCCATTTGGCCACAGCCCTCGAGCGGTTCCCGTCAGTCACACCCCTGCACAGGATGTTAGATGCCATATAAGGATATCTACGTCAGTTGGATCCCCAAGCTAGGTTGATCTGAAGGCTTCCTAGAACTTCCTCGACTTTAAAAGTCGAGACCTCTCGCGAATCTTCTTATAGAAGCATCGCAATCCATTAGGGAGGGCTTCTGGATTACGTTGAGAGAAATTCTGATGTTATCATACAATTTTGGATCACCCAGATAGAATAGAATCGTGATCCCTACTACGCTCCTCCTTGTGACGTCGGTTCATTCAGAATAATAAAAGGCGGAGGTACCGCTTTACTCCAGGACAGAATTAAGCAGTGTTCGAAGGAGCTAAGGCACGGAAGTAACTGGAGTTTACAAGTAACCTGTTCGCCTCAAGAGCCACTCCATTCGGATTTTAATCTGGGATAGATATACCACCCTGAAGGGTTTGTATAATAATCCCAGGTTCTCCGACATGATGTTCCAAGGCTTCACCGCTGACTACGACGCCTCTTCCTCCCGCTGCAGTAGTGCTTCCCCGGCGGGGGACAGTCTCACCTACTATCCTTCTCCCGCGGACTCGTTCTCCAGCATGGGCTCGCCTGTTAACCCACAGGTGAGGAACAGGGACAGGGACTTGGGCCGGGGGTGGTTTGGGGTAGGAAGAACTTGACTGTTTCTCTATTGCTGTCGGGTCCGGTGGTCAATTCCTGTCGGGTACGGCAGTAACATTTAATGCAAGCGGACGGGGACTCAAAAGAGTTGATCTGACCGGCACGCGATGCATGCCTTTCTCTTCCTGATATTTTGTATTTTGCAATTAGTGTTATTTCTTGTCCCTTCTCATAGGGACTATTTGTCACTTCTCATAGGGACTATCAGTCGCTTATGGCGGGGGGGGGGGGTTCTGGTTTCGGCTCCTCTTAAATACTCTAGATTAACGGAGTGGGGTGGGACCTGAATCCGGCAGACGTGCTTAGCAGTGGGTGCGTAAAACAATTTCATTGATAAAACGCGACTTCATTCAGGAGACTCCGGAGCGACGTTTGCGTCAGCTCGGACGTCAGAGATATTTTTAACAAGACCCTGTTCATGTGTAGCTCGGTGATGGTGTTAACAGCGTCCGATTAATGCAGCTCAAGGGACTGCAGGCCGAGCTCAAAATAACCCACCAATCTCTTGGGCAAGAATGTAATCACAGCGTGCGTCGTATCTTTCTCCCTGCCCTCGCCTCTCCCGGTTTTTTTTTTATATTAAATTTCCTGGTTTATGTCTTTTAGGATTTCTGCACGGAGCTAACTGCCTCCAGCACTAACTTTGTCCCTACGGTGACTGCCATCTCCACAAGTCCTGACTTGCAATGGATGGTCCAACCAACTCTGAGCTCTTCGGTGGCCCCTTCGCAGAATCGCACCCATCCTTATGGGCTCGCTGCTTCTCAAACTGGTGTATACCCAAGAGCTGGAATAGTCAAGACGACTGGAAACAGAGGGCAAAGCATTGGCAGAAGGGGCAAAGTTGAACAGGTGTGTACCTTACCTTTTGCCTGACAAGCAATTGAGAGGGAAAGTTCTGGTTTATGGGTTAGGTTTACACTTGGCGAGAAAGGAGGCATATTTAGCCCGTAGTTGACTGTTCCTTAGGAAGAGGAGGGCAGTCGCACGGAGGTCCCAAATAATTCTGCTAAGAGGTGGGTCTGCCCCTTAAGAATACTTTGGCTCGTTTGGCTCTACTGAGCAGCCTGTAAGACTTGCATTTCATAGCTGAGCCTTGAAGCGGAGGTAAAGGAAGAACAGGCATTTTCCGGGCTCTGGTACTAGTACTGACGGGCATGCTGTTCTCTCTCCATAGCTGACGCCAGAAGAGGAGGAGAAAAGGCGGATTCGGAGAGAAAGGAACAAGATGGCAGCCGCTAAATGCCGCAACCGGAGAAGGGAGCTGACCGATACCTTGCAAGCGGTGAGTATCCCCGGCTAGAGCTCGCCGGCTGAGCTCCCTATGCCCCTGCCTCCCTGCCCCCCGGCTCTTTTTCCGCCCAAGAGCTGACTGACTGGTCCCTCCCCTTCTGTGTGTCCGCAGGAAACCGACCAACTGGAGGAGGAGAAGTCCGCGCTCCAGACAGAAATCGCCAACCTGCTCAAAGAGAAGGAGAAGCTGGAATTCGTGCTGGCTGCTCACCGCCCTGCCTGCAAGATCCCCGAGGAGTTACAGTTCTCGGAAGAGCTGGCGGTCTCTTCCCTGGATCTGTTGGCCGATGCGCCCGTGGCCAGCTCTCCCGAGTCCGAAGAGGCGGCTTTCGCCCTCCCGCTACTGCCGGAGCCGACCCGGGCAGAGCCCGCCAGGGAGAGCAATGGCTTGGAGCTGAAGGCCGAGCCTTTCGACGACTTCTTCACCCGCTCCGCCCGCGGGACGCCGCGCTCTGTACCCGACATGGATCTGTCCGGCTCTTCTTCCTTTTACGCCGCGGACTGGGAGCCCCTGGGGCCAGCGGTCACCGCGGATCTGGAGCCCCTTTGCACTCCGGTGGTGACCTGCACGCCCTGCCCCAGCACCTACACCTCCTCCTTCGTCTTCACTTACCCGGAGACCGAGTCTTTCCCCAGCTGCGCAGCGGCTCATAGGAAAGGAAGTAGCAGCAACGAGCCCTCTTCCGACTCCCTCAGCTCCCCTACTTTGCTGGCTTTGTGAAGGGACTGAGTCCCCGAGCAATAATCGCGGGGCTGGGTGAAATCATCGTTCCTACCCCGTCTTGCTGCTGCCGCTACTGCTGCTGCCGCTGCTGTTCCTGCATGGGGCCTTAGGCCGCAAAGGAGCCACTCTCGGAGTCCCAAGGCCTGGGGAAGACGAAGCGCCTCCATGCTGGCGTGAGGTACGGGCAGCCCATCTGGAGTGAAATGACTTTGCTGAAGGACTGCTTCGCAGCCTCTCACAAGGCCCGATTCTTCTTCCAGAGATGTAGCAAATCGCATGGAATCTGTCTTGTCCCCACCCATGAGAACTAGCAGTTTCATAGCATGTTCAACATGGCTGGGTTGGTGACTCCCTTCCCTCCTTACTATTCACTAGCATTAGCTAATTAATCTGTTGGTTTAATGATTGGAATTTTGATATGGTGCTGGGTATCTAGTGCAGCTGATTAACAATAACTACTGTGTTCCAGGCAATATTGTGTTTTGATCACTTAGCAATTGTCTAACTTAACTGCGAAAAAGACAATTTCATTTTCTAGATTAATGAATAGCTATGTTGTCCATGTACTATAGTTCTTTGTTCATTAATGTCCATTGTAACTTTAACTGATCATACATCGTTGAAGTGGTCTGAATGGTTTGACATAAGTTTTCCATGAAAACGTTTTATTGTGTTTTTAATTTATTTATGAATATTTATATTTATTTTTTTCTACCTTGAGGTTGAAATGTGGAAAAGTGAATTTGAATGACACTTAAGCATTGTTTGCTTACTGTTCAAGATCCTGTCAATAAAAGCATTTAAGTCGAATGCTATAAAGGCTCTTTGGTTTCTTTACAATAACACTGATCTGAGAATGGATTGAAATTAACTGGGAGATAATTTAATACATTAAATACATACTTAAATCTTTGATTTCCTCAAAAGGATTGAGGTTAATAAACATTATTAGTATTAAATTAGTATTAAACTAATCCTTTGACTATATATCCCCTATCCTGCCCTTTCATCATAAACATGTTGTTGCTTTAATAATCCTGTTGCTTCAACATGTGCTAAGGCTAAGACAGTACAAAATTCTAATCACACAACATAGGAAAGCATGCTCTTGTTTAAGTAGAACATATTTCCAAGTAAATGTGTATAGCTGCACATATTCTGAATTTCTACACATATCAGTTGCACTATTAGTAAAGAACATTGGTTTAATAAGGATAGGTAACCATTATATAGCAACAAATTATATTTCCTTTAGCCTTGTGATTATTTCTGTTCAGATAAGTACAGTTTCATCACATCACACTTCCTGTTTATTTCCCTCTCCTGAACATATCTGACTTTGTTCTTTCATCTTCATTGTTTCCTACATCTACGCAGTGTTTCATTTTCCTCTGCCTCATGTCCTTCATTTGAAGTAAAGGCAAAAAATAGTTGTTCATTGGGGAAAGGGTTCATTGGGGAGAGTTTCAGTAATTGTTCAGATATTTCCCATGCTAAATTACGGTTCTATTTTTGATCAGAAAAACTAAAGTTATAATCAGTTTAGAAACATAACCACACTTTTTAGTGTATGTCTTGTTTCTTAATACACCTGTGTGCCAGATCACTCTTCAATTACAAACTCAAGTGGTTAGTGCCAAAAGAACTGTCTATGTAGGACTTACTGAGAAATAAAAGGTAGATAACAATATGCTTAGTACAGATCTTGGCTTGAAAAATGCAATTGTTCTTAATGAGCATAAGGTATGATAGTAAGGCTCCCAAAATAATGAGCAACCCTCTGCATTGTTAAGTATAGAAGAGCTGTGTGGTAAATATGAATGGGTTTGGAATTGGATATAGCATATTATTATTGGATAAACTAAATAATGATAGAGTGTTGACAATCAGAATGAAGAAAAACAATTTAGGGAAGGAAACAGAAGAGGGCATGGATGGTTGGAACCCTTAGAAAAGATGTCCAGAAATTTCACAAAATTAATACTCTGACAAATTAAAATAATAGTTTCTTTATCAAATAATTTGCCATTGTTAGTTGATGTAATGTGAGAATCTGTTGCAAATCATCTCATATTTTCAAAAGTTATCCAGTTAAAGCAGTATCCAGAAGTCCTTGAATATCTAAAACACAATTGTAAAGTAATATAACTACGTATTCCACAGTTTTTTGTTAAGTGATGTGAACATTTCTCAAAAGTTTGATATCACATTTATTCCTAGATATATGCACAGGAATTCAAGTTTCTGTAAAAGAAAATGAGAACTTAAAGCATAATATGAAGACCACATGTTTTCTGCATTAGGTAATATTTATTAACTTAACAAATCAATGTAAAATAATGTATCCAATTACAATGGAATGTACCTCACTGGTTTTATGGAGTATTTCTCAGATATATTTGCTGAGCTATTAATAATAAGATATTACTTTGGGAAATTGTCAATAATATTGCTTCTTAAATATAACAGTAAATAATTATTTGGAACATGATTTATGAAGTTGACATTAAAACCTCCAGTTAATTGTGTTTAATTTTTAAAGAATTTTTCATCATAAGAAGTCAGAGTTGTATAATGTTAAATTGCTTAAAAAGAACTCAAAACTTTTTGTATTTTTTCATTATAACATTATATACAGTGCTCAAAACAATAAAGGGAACACTTAAACAACACAATGTAACTCCAAGTCAATCACACTTCTGTGAAATCAAACTGTCCACTTAGGTAGCAACACTGATTGACAATCAATTTCACATGCTGTTGTGCAAATGGAATAGACAACAGGTGGAAAGCATAGGCAGTTAGCAAGGCATCCCCAATAAAGGAGTGGTTCTGCAGGTGGTGACCACAGACCACTTCTCAGTTCCTATGCTTTCTGGCTGATGGTTTAGTCACTTTTGAATGCTGGCGGTGCTGTCACTCTAGTGGTAGCATGAGACGGAGTCTACAACCCACACAAGTGGCTCAGGTAGTGCAGCCCATCCAGGATGGCATATCAATGCGAGCTGTGGCAAGAAGGTTTGCTGTGTCTGTCAGCGTAGTGTCCAGAGCATGGAGGCGCTACCAGGAGACAGGCCAGTACATGAGGAGACGTGGAGGAGGCCATGGGAGGGCAACAACCCAGCATCAGGACCGTTACCTCCGCCTTTGTGCAAGGAGGGACAGGAGGAGCACTGCCAGAGCACTGCAAAATGACCTCCAGCGGGCCACAAATGTGCATATGGCTGCTCAAACGGTCAGAAACAGACTCCATGAGGGTGGTATGAGGGCCCGATGTCCACAGATGGGGGTTGTGCTTACAGCCCAACACAGTGCAGGACGTTTGGCATTTGCCAGAGAACACCAAGATTGGCAACTTCGCCACTGGCACCCTGTGCTCTTCACAGATGAAAGCAGGTTCACACTGAGCACATATGACAGACGTGACAGGGTCTGGAGACGCCGTAGGGAACGTTCTGCTGCCTGCAACATCCTCCAGCATGACCAGTTAGGCAGTGGGTCAGTAATGGTGTGGGGTGGCATTTCTTTGGGGGGCCGCACAGCCCTCCATGTGCTCGCCAGAGGTAGCCTGACTGCCATTAGGTACCGAGATGAGATCCTCAGACCCCTTGTGAGACCATATGCTGGTGTGGTTGGCCCTGGATTCCTCCTAATGCACGACAATGCTAGACCTCATGTGGCTGGAGTGTGTCAGTAGTTCCTGCAAGATGAAGGCATTGATGCTATGGACTGGCCTGCCCGTTCCCCAGACCTGAATCCAATTGTGCACATCTGGGACATCATGTCTTGCTCCATCCACCATCGTCAGGTTGCACCACAGACTGTCCAGGAGTTGGGGGATGCTTTAGTCCAGGTGTGGGAGGAGATCCCTCAGGAGACCATCCGCCACCTCATCAGGAGCATGCCGAGGCGTTGTAAGGAGGTCATACAGGCACGTGGAAGCCACACACACTAGTGAGCCTCATTTTGACTTGTTTTAAGGACATTACATCAAAGTTGGATCAGCCTGTAGTGCTTTTTTCCACTTTAATTTTGAGTGTAACTCCAAATCCAGACCTCCATGGGTTAATAAATTTGATTTCCATTGATAATTGTTGTGTGATTTTGTTGTCAGCACATTCAACTATGTAATGAACAACGTATTTACTACGAATATTTCATTAATTCAGATCTAGGATGTCTTATTTTTGTGTTCCCTTTATTTTTTTGAGCAGTGTATTATTTCATACTTCTTTACATTGCAAACAAGTATTCACCAACAAATATTTAATGTTTAAGAGGTGAGTTGTCCAAGGTTTAAGTTCAAGTGGCATGGTTTAAAAAATAGGTACTGACATCCTGTATGATTTCCATAAGCAATCATCTTAAATAATTTTGGAAAATATAATTCTATAGCAGAAATATTTATTTTACAAAAAAAAAAAAAAAAAAAAAAATTGGCCTTTTCACACTAAGCCATAGGTTGAATTCTAAAATGAATAAGAATTTCATAACAGGAAATTTCCTTCCCTTTCATCCTCCTCCTTGAAACCACTTGTATCTCCTTCAAAAGCTGTGAAGAGGACCAATCAGAGGTGGTATTCAGCAGGTTCTGACCAGTTCTGGAGAACCGGTAGTGGAAATTTTGAGTAGTTCGGAGAACCGGTAAATATCACCTCTGACTGGCCCCGCCCCCATCTATTCTCTGCCTCACAAGTCCAGGGCCGGATTTAGATGAAAAGAGGCCCTAGGCTATTCCACTTATGAAGCCCTTTCACCTATAGTGAAAGTGTAATTTTAATTTTGCTAACAATTTGAATGTAGGCCCCTCTTGATCTTGAGGCCCTAGGCTGAAGCCTAGTTAGCCTATAGGAAAATCCGGCCCTGCACGAGTCCCAGTTGATCGGGAGGAAATGGCGATTTTTGCAGTAACCTTCCCCTGCCACACCCACCAAGCCACGCCCACAGTAAAAAAAATTGAATCCCACCACTGGGACCAATGTATTCTTTGGACCACATAGAACCAATTTTATGGCTAATTGGTAGAATTGACATGACTGGAAAATCATTGAAATTGGACTTAGTTTCAGTTTCCTATTCATTTTACAAAATAAATAAATCTGGGTGAGCCAAATTCCATGTACACATAGAGCCTAAGGGCATCCCATTTTCTTTCTGATTTAAAATCAGGATAGAATTGTAAATCCTCCTACAGGGCACCATTCTTCAGTCTGTCTCTTGACAGAGTTAGCTTATATGACTAGACAACTTGTGATTTGTTGGGTATATTTCAGATATATTTTCTTACCAGATTCCTCAATGCCTTCCAATTTACTGCCCTTACTGGAAAAGTTGGAGTATATTTAGAGATGCATCTGCCTTGAAAATGCCCATATTGAACTGTATACACAGTCAAACATCAGCATAAGAAATATTTTATGGTATTTTGAATTATGGCATAAACTTGTATACTAATTTTGATATCATAAAATGTTTTATAAAATTTGTCAAATTTCAATTTCACAGGAGTCATGGCTCCAGATTTTGGATACAATCTGTAAGTTAGCTCACTTGGTTCAAAAATTGTGCCCTATGATGCATCATTTTGTTTGGTTAAAGATTATGGGAACACGAGTTTTAATTATATCAAGAACAAAGAACTATTCAAAGTATACATATACTGGTAGTATGACAATAATATTACATACATATATACATATTATTCCATTTGACTGTGCAGTGATATGCAGGGTCCAGAAAAAAAAGGCATACTAAGACAAATTTCAGACTTAAAATGAGGAAAAGAAAAGAAGAGGAAATATATTCTAATA